CGCGTTTAGGACTGGAAATAAATCAAATTTCTTGTTTTATGTGGTTTTCGCATTAATCATTTATTCGATTACATGGATTATTAGAGGTTTTTTAGTTTTTATTTTTTTCATTTTAAAAGACATTTAGAGGCTTGATAAATTTTATGTTTTATATATATATATATATATATATATATATATATATATATATATATATACATATATATATATATATATATATATATATATATATATATATATATATATATATATATATATATATATATATACATATATATATATATATATATATATATATATATATATATATATATATATATATATATATATATATATATATATATGTATATGTATACATATATATATATATATATATATATATATATATATATATATACATACATATATATGTATATATATATATACATATATATATATATATATATTTTTATATATATATATATATATATAAATATATATATATACAAATATATGTATATATCTATATATATATATATATCTATATATATATATATATATATATATATATATATATATATATATATATATATATATATATATATATATATATGTATATGTATACATATATATATATATATATATATATATATATATATATGTATGTATATGTAAACATATATATATATATATATATATATATATATATATATATATATATATATATGTATATATATATATATATACATACATATATATGTATATATATATATATATATATATATATATATATATATATATATATATGTATATATATATATATATATATATATATATATATATATATATATATATATACATATATATATATGTATATATATATATATATATATATATACATACATATATATGTATATATACATATATATTTATATATATATATATATATAAATATATATATATACAAATATATATATATACATATATATATATATATATATATATATATATATATATATATATATATATATATATATATATATATATATATATATATATATATATATATATATATATCACATTGCTATATCGTTCTGGTACTGCAAATATATCCTATCAGGGAGTTACCTCAATTCAGATCAGAGTTAGATCAATTCAGTTTGTCACAAGGGGTGCGACAAGCGTCTATTTTATCGGCATATTTATATAGCATCTATACTGAAAACATCTTAAATGAAATAGGCTCATAATGTAAAGTAGGGTCAACGATAAATAGCATCTATACTGGTGTCATTGCATACGCAAATGATGTAATTTTGCTAAGTCCAACAATCTCTGGTCTGCAAGAACTGATTGACAGATTTGAAACATATGGAATATTAAACTTTATCAAGCTAAACACTAAGAAAGCGGAATTTCTAATCTCTGGTAAAAAATCAAATTCCAACAACGTTATTCAAAATAACAGAACTTATATACATCTCCAAAATAAATTAAAACATTTGGGTTTCCAATGGGATAACAATACCAACAAAAGCAAAAATTGCAAAACTTCAAAAAACAAATCTAAATGAACGTATATTATGGAACTTAAAAGAACAAAGAGAAAAATTTAAATCAATAATGGAGGAGAATATTCCTAAAATAGATCTAACCGTCTAGTCGGTCTAGTTATTGGCATTAAAGATAAATATTTGGAGAGCCAAGACTGGCCTTAGTTTAATTTGTAACTGTTTTAATACAATTAATTTATCTGAAGTTTTATTACTGGGTGTACAAGAGAAAATAATAATAATAATAACACAGCTGGAAAAAACTTTGTTTATGAAGACATTTTTAACTCTTTTTCTGAAGACATTTTTAACTCTTTTGCTAATTCTTGTGTTGATATTTTCGAACCATGTAGTAACCAATTTCTTTAAATACTACAAGAACCTGTTTACTTTTTATTTTCAACTATTTTAAACAATTTTTTATTAAAATTTTTGCATGATTTTGACGATAAAATTTGTTTTTAATAATTTTGTGTTTGTAGGTTTACTATCTGATTTGAATTTAGTCTGTTTTTCAAATCAATTGAATTTTTTAAGATTTTTTAGATAAGATTTTCAGGAATACTTATCAAAGCAGGGCTTAATTTAATTTTTTATTAGGTCCCGCACAAAATGTCCGACCATAAGTTATATTGGTCGGACATTGTCCGATCAAATTTTTGAAATAAAATTTGAAAAAATAATTTTCACAAATATTTACATATATTCATATTTGTTTAGTTAAATACAGGAATAAGAAAGTTCTTTAAATGCTGAGAGTAAAAAAGTACAGATGGGTTTTTTGGAGACTACGGACTCCGGTATGAAATAGAGAATCTTGAAAACTTTTGTTGTTTTTATTGATAATTTTCCTTTTTCTCTTTTAGTGTATCTTTTTGTGTTAATTTGAAAAATATTATCTGAAAAATGTTATAGCACAAACCCAAGTTTATATTTAAGCATGAATAGAATATTGATAGATAATAATTTAGCAGACATTTAGTGCATTCAAGGCTTTTAGTAAGGGTTCAGCATTTGTAAATTTATCTTAATTGTAAACTAGTTTTGATGTGTGTTTTTGTTTAATATGAATTATGAATTTGTGGGTACTTGTCCCATAATATAAGCTTATGTAAGATAACTATAGATGTAGGAAAAATAAGGAGGTTTTAGATTATCTTGAGACAGAATAGATTTTATTTTGTAGAGTATCCCTATGTTTTTTTGAAATTTTGATGTTTAGGGTATTTATATGGGTTTTTATTACTCCATTATTACTCTATTAATTATTACTCCTTAGACTACAGTAGTGGCACCTTACGGTTATTGGATAAATTTAGTATAACTTTGAATGTGCCTTTTAAATATGCAAAGTATTATATGTCAATGTCATTAAATGAATATAATTAAAATTTTTCGCATATCTTTGTTAAAAGACGTCATCAAAGCTTATTAAAGTTCTTTTTTTAAAGTAAATAGTAAATAAATTAAATTAAGTATATATGGGTAAAAAGGCAGATTTGAGTGATTTTGTTAAAGGTCAAGTCATAACTTTGCATGGTGAAGGGTACTCACAAGTTGTCATTAGTAAACGTTTAGAAATATCAAGATGCGCTGTACAAAACGTTATAAAATTGCATAGAAGTTATGTAAATTTTTTTACTTAACAAAATATAATATGCTAAGTGTCAAATTTGTGCATAAGCTCCACTTTTAGCGCCAAAAAGGTATTTATATGGCGTTCATGTAACTATTTTTATCAATAATGAAAACGGCAAGAAAACAAGTTTGTTATAGTAATATAGTATAATGTCTTAAATATATTAAATATTAAGATAAACATATTATTTTTAAACTTTATATAAAAAAATAAATCAGATTTCATTATCTGAAAACAAACTTTCTTGCTCAGAAACATTTTCGAAGAGGTTAGTTTCATTATTTTGGTCTTCCTCACTACTATCATCACTTAACTACAGGTGGACCGAGTTCGCCTATTCTTAATAAACGTCCTAATCGTTGAGTAGACAAGGAGCATTTTTAACCACATTCAACTTTGAAAACATTCTTTTTAGCTTAGAGTTGCACACGGGGATGGTAAAAAGTAGTTTAACTAATGCCAAAACATTTTTCCAGCTCTCACACCGCGGAGAAGAGAATATTTTTCTCCATATACACAAATATGTTTGTGTTGATATTGAAAGATACTCACGATCATACTCTAAAAGAGAGTGCCATTGACTTAAGATATCTGACACATTAATGCCAGCACGTTTTAAAGGTGTTTCAAAACGATGTACTAAATAAGTAATGGCGTCATCTACGAAATCATTGTTATTAACAGTTAAATTTTCTACTACTTCTTTCTGATCCCATCCTTCACAATTTAAAACTTTCGGAACAAATTTGAATATTTGCTTGCTTTCAGCTTCTTTCAGCTTCTTCTTCTAAACAAACTTTAATGCAACTTTTTACGCGTTTATAAAATTCTTTTTTTTTTGGATTTAACAAAACTAATTGACCTGTCATAATTTTTCAGTTCGATATCTTGAAAACAATATTTTCCCTCCTTACAAGTAACTTTCGAAATCAAGTATTTTACATGTGGGAGTCTTTCAAATTCTTTTTTTTAAATAAATTCAAGCGATCTTTTGTTTTTGACAGGAAATACATTGTATTAATCATGTCAATTTTATCACTTTGCATAGAAACAGATAACTTTAATGCGATTTCAAGTAAGTCAAAACACATACTTAAAAGAAATAGCATTTTACTGTCATTCCACTCCGCTAGATAACTCTTAAGTTTAGCTCGCTCTATAGTTTTGGCCAATGGATCTTGACAAATATTTTCTAAGTGCTGAATGTAAATTCCCCACTTGTCCAGACACATTTTCATAGCAGCAATTTTGTGGGAAATCCATTGAGTACCGTTGCATTTTTTGGGTCGATATCCACCATCGTTAAACTCCACTCCTTCTTTGTAAGCATTGTAGATTTTTTTTAGTTGACGAAGTTTTTTTGGTGCTCTTTTGTAAAGATAATATAAACGTAAAAGCATTTCATCAATCTCATCAAAAGCCGTTTTTGACAAAGCATCTTTTAATGCAAGCTCTAAGCGATGAGCAACACACCATATAAATACTATCCAGGGTGACTTTTTCTGAAGAATAACATTAACACTTTGATTACTTCCTCGGTTAACTGAAGCACCGTCAGAAGTAAAACCTATAACCTTACTTTCGAACTGTTCAATTTCAAATTCGTTAGATAATTCTTTGCAGCGATCTGCAATTGCGTCGTATACACCAGTAGCTGAAGAATTTTTTTAAATTTCTTAAACCTATGAAGATTATTTTTACTTGAACTTCATCACTTCCCACAGGTTCAGGGTCGAAATAAGTTAGATAAACAACTTCATCTTTTAATGTTGCACTATCCGTTGATCCATCACAAAATATCCCAAAAAATTTAGATTTTGACAAATCAAATAATGATTTCTCTTTTAAATCTTCACCAATAAAATCTATAAATTCTGCACATTTGGCGTTGCTAAAATATGCCTCTCCCAGCTCA